GGTGCCTCAGTGGTGATGGCTGGAAGTCTGGGCTCACCTGGGACCACTGACTGGAGTACCTGCACCGGGTCTCTCCAGTATGGCATCTCGGGGTACTTGGACTTTTTACATGGAAGCTGGCTTTCCCCAGAGTAAATGTCCCAAGAAATCCAGGTGAACGCTCCTGGACCTGTGCCGACCTAGCCTTAGAGGTCCACCTTACCTCACTGGTTATAAGCAAGTCATGAGGCCAGCTCAGATGCAAGAGGAGGAAAATTAGATGCCATCTCTGGATGGTGGAGTAGTGTAGTCACGTTGTACAAGAACACGAGGAATGGGAGATCCTGATCCTGTGGCTCCAGAAGAGGAGCATAGCAGCTATCTTTGGAGAACACAGATTGCTACAGCCTCCTTGAGAATGGAGCCATCATGGAGGAAGCAGCTGAGATATGGAAAGATAACAGTTCTGATGATGTAGTCTGAGTACTTGGATCCAACTTTTCCCAGGATCTCAGTCATGAGAACTATCAAATTCCTTTTCTGTTTAAGCCAATCTGAGCTGTGCTTTTGACACTTGTAACTGAAAGCACTTTTACTTTAGTGTATCGGTTATCTATTATAGCATAAAAAACCACCTATGACCTAAGAATAAGGATTTATTATTTCTCATGATTCTGTGGGTTGGCTAGGTCATTCGTCTGCTGGTCTCACCTGGGCTCACTCATGCAACTGCTGGGGCGGAAAGTTCAAGGTGGCATCATTCACATGTCTGGCTGTTGCCTTGGGGTCTCTGTTCTTATCTGTGTGGTCTCTCAGCCTCAATAGGACAGACTGAAGTAGACAGTGTTCCAAGACAGTGGTGGCAGAAGCTACAAGGCCTTTTGAGGCCTAAACTCCAGAACTTGTATAGCATCATTTCTGTCCTATTCCTTTATTCAAAGCAAGTCAAAAAGCCAACCCAGGTCAAAGGAATGAATAAGTAGACTCCACCTCATGCAGGAGAACTGCAAAGAATTTGTGGTCATATTTCATCCACCACAGTGTGGCAGATACCTGGGTCATGTTGGATGGGAACATCTTTGGAATTAGAGCACATATAGGAAGCAAGGTGTGTGTGCCAGGCAGGTGGGCAGACTCTGGGTGCACTCACACTGAGGAGCCCACAACTAGAGTGTGAGTTGTATGGTGGCTGACTTGCAGGCTGCAGTGTACACAGCAACCAGTGTGGCATGAGAGGTTCTGAAGGTCTCTTTCTTTCCCATTTTCTAGGAGCCCTCTGAGCTGAGGGTCCCATGACAAGGTCTACACTAGATCCCTAGTTCACAGGAGCAACTCTGAACTGAAGACTTGCAATATCTGAATCACATCTCGGAGCCTCAGTTATTCTTCTGTAAAGTGGGCATGATTGTCCCTGCCTCACAGATTGACTGTGAGACTGAAGATGAGGTAATCACCATGAAGGTGCTTCGTAAACTAGAGTGCCATTTCCATGCTGCTGAATGTTACCATTTGAGATCTGAGGAATGAATGATCAAGGTGGGCCTGGGAGTCACAAGAGGCAAGAAGGAGAAACCTGAGATAGGGCTTTGAAAGATGAGGACATTCACACTGGTGGGGAGGAAGGGCTGCATTTCAAGATGGACATTGGGGAATACAATTGTAAAGGCACAGAGGCAGAACAGTGACAGACTGTGCCCCGGAGAGGGAGGAAAGTAACCTTGACTCCTGGTCTTTGGGATCCCAGGCCATGGGTCAGCAGCCCCCGAGGGTCACTCAGAGCCACAGCCAAGACCTGCAGCCCCCAGGGACCATCCACTGCCTATCCCCACCCAAGTCACAGGGGGGTGGGGGCAACAACAGGAGGAGAGGTGGCTGCCAGGGTGATAGGGACAGGTCCCTCTTCTGGAGCCACGGGATCAGGTCAGATCCCTCTCGGTATTCCCAGCCTCCTTTCCCCACAGCAGGGTAGGGACCCCAGACCATAGGCTTGGGTCACAGGTGGCCCAGTTACACTGGGCTCCAGGTCCCCTGATGCCCTGGGCAGGGGTGGGGTGATGGATGGGTTTCAGTGTGTCCAGGCGGGGACTTGGAGCTGCTTCCGACTAGCCTGGACAGCAGAAGCCCCAGGGGGCCATTTGTGGGGGAAGCTGACCACCCGGCCAGGCCGTGGATGGTGGCTGCCTCCCAAGTCCTCTGAATCCAGGGGTCCTGGGAGTAGAGGGGTGGGTAGGCTCAGCTTCCCCCAGTCTGACCCTGTGCAGCTCACAGAGTCCCACTGGAGGACAGGAGAGGATGCTGAAGGAAGCACGGGAGGGGCAGGATATGAGCTGGAGGGACGCAGCAGTGGGGTTAGAATTGGAGCCTGGATTCCTGCCCTTGTCCCTCAGCCGTGTGAGCCATGATAGCACCACTTGCTGCTGGGGTGTCAAGGTGTGTGCTGGCCTGAGCAGGGAGGCAGACAGAAGTCCTGGCCTAAAGGGCTCTACTTTGCCAAATCCTTGCCCCACAGGGCACCTGCCTCCCATGACAGAAAGAGAAGAGAGGGAGGTGGTTAGGGATTGAGAGACCCTCTTCCATACACCTGGGCTTCTACAGAGTGAGGGCTTGGAGAGCCATGTATTGCCCTGACTTGGTCTGGGCCCTCTGCTTTACCTTCTTCTCCTGCCACGCTCTCCTTCTCCAGCCTTGGTGGTCACAGTGCTTCCCTGGCCAGAACTTTGGAGTGGCCATTCCTTCCATTCTCTCTTCCCTGCTATGTTTGCTGTCAGCACACACAGTCCCCAACTAATGATTCAACTTAGGATTTTCCGACTTTAGGATGGTGTGAAGGTGATTCACATTCAGTAGAAACTTCGAATACCCACACAATCATTCTGTTTTCACTTTCAGTACAGGATTCAATAATGACATGAGCTATTCAACCCTTTATTATAAAATAGGCTTTGTGTCAGGCAATCTTGTCCAGCTATGGCTAATGTGAGTGTTCTGAGTATGTCTAACGGAGACCAGGCTAAGCTCTGATGTTCAGTAGTTTAGGTGTATTCAATGCATTTTCTATTTATGATATTTTTATCTTACAATGGGTTTGTTGGAACGTAGCTCCATTGTAAGTTAAAGAACATATGCATATTCTCAAACCTTGCTTGCAATCTCAGAGCTGGCAGCGGCCTATGTGCTCATTCAGTCTAAATTCCTATTGCACAAATAGGGACATTGAGGCACAAGGTTTCTTGGGCTGTTGCTACTCCAAGGTCACACATCGGGATCAGCAATAGAGCCAGGACTAGGCTTCTGACTCCCAAGTTCTCATCTTTCTCCCATCCTTTGATCTGTATCTTGTGGCTCAGCCTCTGTCTGCCTGTCTGTTCCTTAGACCAGCAGAGTTCATGTGGGCTTTGCTCAGCTCAGACATCTGCTATTAAAGCCATGACTGGCACTGTGAATGTGGCTTGGCTCTGGCAAATTGTACTGGACTGGAGCCAGTTACAGGGCCTATAAGCTGAGGGCTGAGGGCCAGGGCCCAGAGGGAGACTGGGTTCTAGGAGAGAAAGCAAATTAGATCTGGGCTCCATGTCTGCTTGGGGTGGCTACTGCTCATCATCTTTCCATCACTTTCCCAACATCTCCTGTTCAGGACGATGCTCAGAGAAAGAGAGCTCCAAAAGCTCTGCTTACATGACACAGAAAGGCATAAGCACACAGGGAAAGGCATGGACCTACACAGCTCCCTGCACTGGGGTCTGCTGTGCTACACTGTGGGATTATTTCCACATGATACTCTTTCCTCTGAATGCAAGGACACATCTCTTTTCTTGTGACTTCCCAGCACCCTGCCTAGAGCCTGCCCCAAATAAGACCTCAGAGAGAGTGTGTGGGAAGAGTGAGCTGACCCTCGTGTGCACGGCTGCAGAGCCTGCTCATGTCCAGGCACCGGCATGAGGCAGGAAACCCACTCCAGGTCTGTCTGTGGCACGAGGCTGGACCGGCAGAGAGCCTGCTGAGGTCCGTGGCACACTCCCTCCTCTTCTTCCTTTAGCTGGGGCTCTGTCCCTGTGACCAGTCATTCATAAGATGTGGTCCGAGAACCAGCAGCATCAACATCACCCGGGAGTTTGTTAGCGACACAAAATCTCAGGCCCTACTGAATCAGAAGTTCTCGGGGGTAGAGTCTAGAAATTTGGCTCAACAGCCCTCCAGGTGATTCTAATGCAGGCTAAAATTAGAGAGCCATTGCCTATGACAACCTCATGCTAGAGCGGGGACAAGGAGGGGTCAAGCCCACAGCATGGCAGCTGCTTACAACACCCACGGGCAAGGCTAGCCACTCCCATCAGGTGCTCCCTCTGGAGGCAAACTCATACTTGCACACACGCTCATACGTGAGCATCTGGTAGCTCTCTGGGAAGTCCACATGTGGGGTGTCAGGGCTCCCCAGGGTCCAGCCAAGCACACAGATGGAAGAACGGTCCTTGCCAGGTGACACCCTGTAACACCCTGAACGGTCCTTGCCAGGTGACAGTCCTTTGTCTTTCATCCCTTCTAAGGTTCCCTGAGTGCTCCCTTGGAGGTCAGAGAAGCTGAGGAATTGCCCAGCTCAGACCAGACATGCCAGCAGAGAGGCCAAGGTGGCCTGTGTGCCCAGGAGAGTTTGGGGTATGTGCAAAAGCCAGCAAAGTACTTCCTGTGCGTGGGCAGCCAGGACTGGGGACGAGTACTTAGCACACAGAGCTCGACAAGAGCACGCCCCCGCCAGCCGTGGTTGCCAGATGCAGAGACCCCCTTGGTCCCTTCCCAGGGCTATTCCCTGTCCCCATCCCTTTTGACCCCACCTTCTGACACCTGACCCCACCGGGCCTATAGCCAGGCCCTGCGGCATCTCCCTGTAAGGATTTGGACAGAAAACCCTGGCCTCTGCGAGCCGACGGGAGTGGAGGGAGGCTCTCTCGCTCAGATCTGGTTTCACACTTCCCCTGGCCGCCAGCACCAGCTGTGCTATATAAGGCGGTGCCTGTGCTGGAGAGAGACTTGGACCCCCAGCGAGAAGCCTGCTCAGACCGTGAGTGCCACCCTCACCCACCCCTGCAGCCACTGTGGGCTTAGCAGCTCCTCTTCCCGACCTCCCCATCCCCTTTTTCCTCCTGCCGCTGCTCCTTATCCCCTTTTTACTTCTGTCCCCAAACCTCCCCTCCTCCTTTTTCTCCTGCCCCCCTTTCAATCCCCTTTTTATTTCTGCCCACCACACCCCACCCTTTTTTCTCCTGCCCACACCTCCCTATCCCCCTTTTACTCCTGCCCCCCACCTCTCCATCCCTTTTTTCTCCTGTCCCCCTGCCTCTCTATCTCCTTTTTCTCCTGTCCCCCACCTCCCCAACCCCGTTTTCTCCTACCTCCCCACCTCCCTAGCCCCTTTTTCGCCTGTTCCCATCCCTTTTTTGCTGGCTGACCTCTCATCTCCTACATAGGAGTTACCCTTTCTGCTTTGAGGATTTCTCCTTTCCCCCACTGGCCATGAGACTTCTCCCTCCCCCAGCTGAGGTGAGGAACCCCCAAACAGTCTCATTCTGGTCTGTATACCTCTGGGTGCCTTGCCTTTCCCCTGGGTTGGCCAGGCCGCTTTGTCTGAGAGCTCTGAGACAAAGTGTAGGATGGGAGCCCGACTGCCAGGACATGTGTTGAGGAAAGGGATGCCAGGTGGAAATGGCTTTTCCAACAAGGTATCTCTGGCGACCCCTGCATCTCTGGCAGCCCTGGAGCATGCTGGCTGAACCTCAGGCCCGCGGGCTGCCCAGCTCCCTGCTCAGAGCTTTGGCATGAAGGAGACATGAACAGCTGGGGACCTCGGGGGCCTCCCTTACTCTGCCCCCTCATCTGAGACACAGGCAGAGCTGGGGTCAGCTGTTTCAGAGCTAGACTGAGGACTGCTTGTTCTTCCCATAGGAAGAAAGGAAAGATCTTCCCTTTCCTGCCACACCCTGGACTTTGGAGGCTGAAGGGAGCTACTTTTGATTCTCTGGGAACAAATCAGATTCTGGGTTGGCTGTAACACTAAGGAGAGATGAAATGCTCTGTGCTCGCTTCGGCAGCACATATACTAAAACTGGAACAACACAGAGAAGATTAGCATGGCCCCAGCGCAAGGATGACACACAAATTTGTGAAGCGTTCCATAATTTTAAAAGAAAAAAAAAAAAAGAAATGTGCTGAGCTGGGCCTGGGCTACCTCCCCCAGGTTCCTGCAGCCCCCAGCCCATGCTCAGCAGTTCCTGGGTAGCCTGGCCTCTCACGACATGTCCTTTGCTCTCCCTCAGCTGACTCCTGGCTGCATAACTCCTAGCCAGACCACACTGCCCAGAAACGTGTTCCAGCTGCAGCTCCTGCACATCTGGGAATGTGTTCTCAGAGGTGGTGTGTCAGAGGCACCTATGCCTTCCACATCCTGCACTGTGAGGGGCCGCTGCAGTCAAGTCAGGCCTTCACTGCCTTAATACATAGCCCCTGTGCAAGAGTGCAAGCTCCATTACAGGGTGGTAAAACAAATGCCCTCCAAGCCCGGGTCTTAGAAAGACATCACCAGAGGCTGTTGGGAATGAGCCTGACCCCTCCTTGCCCCTACTCCCCCTTGTGCCCCAACTTCCCCTTGTTCCCCAACTCCATGTGGGGCTCTGGAACCATACCCAGGGCTGGAACCCAGGCTGCCTCGTTTGAACTCAGACACTGGGCCTCTATCCCTTCCAAGCTGCTCGGTTTCACAACTCGGGCAGAGGCCACTCCCGTAGTTGTCATTCTATCCACCTTCATCCTTGGCAGGTCCAGAATACTCTGTTCAAGACATAGGAGGTAACTTAGACATACAGGACCTGACAAGCTTTGCTTCTTTGCAGGTCACAGGATCTGAGAAACATCCCAGGAGCCCACATTCCTGAGACAGTTACTCTGTGAAGCCCCCTCACCCACCTGCCACGTGCCAACAGGACCTGGGGAAAGGATGGTGGGGACCAAGGCCTGGGTGTTCCCCTTCCTGGTCCTGGAAGCCACATCTGTGCTGGGTACAGGCTAAGTATCTGCTAGCCCCCAAATTCCTCACTTGCCACGTGAAGCCATGTTTGGTCTGGGACCAAATGATGCATCTGCTGTAAGACACAGCAATGACTGTAAGACCTGAGGCTGTTGTATGGGTTTATTCATAATTTATATGCTGCTTATCTCCCACCCAAACTTGAGACAGTCCCCAATATTAAAACTCACAGGAACTTTTAAGTGAGGAGAGGGATGAGCAGTCATTCAAAGGGAAGAAAAGAGATAAGAGGGTCACTGCTGCTAAGTACTACATTTAGCTCTGAGCTTCCTGGTAGCCAAAGCAATAGAGAATGACAGGAATCACTGAGTTCTCAGAAGCAGGTTTGGTCTGTTGTTAGTTTTATGAAATTCTTTTGGCCTAAAGCTCAATTTTATTTAGATCCTGCAGTCACATTTCATGGACACACCTGAACTCTTTCTGGTCTGCTTGCCCTCTGAGTGCATCCTCTGGTGACACGGAGCTCTGGAGGGAACAGTTAGAAAGGACTTGCCCAGTGGAGGTGCTGACTTCCCGAGGCATCTGAGTATAGGGGCCCCAGCACTCCCAAACATGCTTTCTCACCTCCCTTTCCTCTCCTGATTCTAACCACATCCTGAGGTAAAGCAAAAATGCTCCAAACTCTCTTTTGAAGTTGAATGCCCTGCAGGATTTGTGACCACAGATGCAGGGACAAAGGCTGTCTTTGCTTCAGGCCAACTCCGTGTGTGCCCACCTCCTGCCTTGCTCTTTCCAGCCTGACAGCTGCTGCTGGGGAAGATGATTAACATTCAGTCATTTGAGGGGAATCAGATTAGCTTGATTAAAAGAGCTCCTGTCACCTCAATTAAGCAGTACAGGGAATACCAGTCTGGTTTCTCACAGGAGAGCTGACTGCCTGCGAAAGCTTTTGCAGCCCTCTGTGCTCCTTCTTCCCATTCTGGAGCCCCCAACCCAGCCCTGGGGTAGAGCTGGAGCTGCCTTGGCCTGAGAGCCCTGCATCTGTCCTCAGGCAGGTCCTGCCAGCCTGTGTTGGAAAATTGAGGGCTACTGCTCCAGTTAAGCGTATGAGTCTATAGAGTGTGGACTCCTCAGGGAAGAAAAATGGCTGTCTCCAGTGCCAGGCATGGAGCTGGAAGGTGTCCTCAACACTTCTCAGTATGCATGATGGGCACTGGTCTAGGGGGTCTTGTGGATGCGCTGACCTCATGCCCACCATCCTCTGAGGCAGAAGTTATTATCATCTTCATGTGACAGTGAGAGGACAGGGGTCAGATGGGCCGAGTGGCTTGTCTGAGGTCACAAGGGGAGGAAGCAGCAGAGTCTCAGGTTTCCATGCTCTCAATCTGCACAGACATCAGAGCTGTTGCCATTCCATCTCGTGGAATCTCATGCCAACGGAATCACCCTGTGAGGTGGGAATTCATATCTCTACATGTTACAGATGAGGAAGAGAAAGCTGTGTTCTTCCAGGAAGGACAGTCCAGACACAGAAGCAGGAGCTCAGCCCCCTGGCTGCTCAGTAGCTTCTGGTGATGATTTCCATAACAAGAGTGAAAGGGAGCTACCCTACATACTGGATCTCTTTCTTGATCATCCTGAATAGTGCATCACCCTGTGATGCAGCGATTATTGATGTGTTCCTGTTTTATGGGGAAACAGGATCAGAGAAAGGAAACTTTTCTGAGGTTGCACAGCAATAAGTGGCAGGATGGGATTTGAACCCATGTCCGGGGTTCATGCTCTTCACATCACACTGCTTCCCTGTGTCTTGAGGAGCCCTGTAAATTTCAGTTATTGCCACTCACTGAGCCTCTTCTCCTGGTTCTCAGGGAGGCAAATGATGCTCACCCAGGCAGTCAGAAGAGTCCAGCCTGGGAGGAAGACACCCGGTGTCTTTGCCAAGCCTGCTGAGCCCCTGGAGAGTGAGTTGTGGTGCAGCCAGGACAGGCTGGGGAGGGGGAGGTTCTTTACTGAGCTTCCTGAGTGATTCTCTGAAGCCAGGGCATGGTGTCAGTGTTCCATGGATACCCACTTTTATAAGGCATGTGGTCTTCCATCTCTGTCCAGGCAGGGGAACCTGGTATGTTCAGAGTCGAGGATGGCAGGAGGGAGGGGGGTGAGGATGGAGAGATAAAGGGAGGCAGAGGGAGAGAGATAAGGATGGAGGGATGGTGGGAGAAGGATGAGGATGGAGAGATGGGGAAGGAGGGGGATTAGAAAGAGAAATGATGGGAGGAGGAGGATGAGGATGAGGATAGAGAGATGCCTGGGGCCAGCTCCAAATGCCTGACGATGGGTGTGGTGTGGCCCAAGCCACGTGGAGAAAGCTTACCCTGACTGCAAGGCTGAGGGGCTACCTTGAGAAAGAGAGCTACTGATAAGAACTGAGGAGGACTTTGCAGGGGTTGGGGAGAGGAGCTAGAGAGAGGCTGGGGAGGGGAATATGACAGGGCCTGTGCCTACAGGGGTGGTGAGAGGCATCAGGGATGGCTCCCAGGGTTAAAGGAGAACAGAGCTCATCTGGGCCTGGCTCTGTCTCTCAGGCCCTGGGGAATGGACAACATGGTTCAACATCGACCACCCAGGCGGGAAAGGCGACTATGAGCGACTGGATGCCATTCGCTTCTACTACGGGGATCGGGTGTGTGCCCGGCCCCTGAGGCTGGAGGCTCGGACTACTGACTGGACACCTGCAGGCAGCACTGGCCAAGTGGTCCATGGTAGTACTCGTGAGGGCTTCTGGTGCCTCAACAGGGAGCAGCAGCCCGGCCAGAACTGCTCCAATTACACTGTGCGCTTCCTTTGCCCTCCAGGTGAGCCCGCACCCCCTACCCCACCTCCCACCAGCTCTGCTCAGGGGAGGCCAGAACCTGCCTCTGCCATGGGAACTCTGTCCATCACACACACACACACACCTTGACTCACTAATGACCAAGTAGTGCCATTCGTGCCAGAACCTCCCGATAGTGTTCTGTGCTTATGGATATCCTCCTTCACCCACTTTATTGGGTTCAAGTGGCACCAGTGAAGACCACAGGCTGAGGCCAGACTGCTTGGGTTGAATCCCTAGCCTACCGTATGAACCGTGCTCCTTGGACAGATTTTCTGACGTTCTCGTAGCCTCAAGTTTCTCACATGTCAAATAGGGGTCATAGTAACCCTCCTAGGGTTTTCATGAGGATGAAATGAGATAATGAGTGTGGAGGATTGAACCTAGGCAAGCATTCCCCAAGTGGTAGTCTCTCTTACTGTTCCTACAGTGCCAGACACTGTAGCTGTCCACGTTGCTCAACCTTTACAGCCAGCCTGTGAGGGGACTGTGTCCTGACAAGCCACATGAGGGTCAGAGAAGGCAGCGGCTCATGGTTCCACAGCCAATAAGGGCAGATCCTGGGAGCAAGCCATGTCTGTGCAGCAGAGTCCATGCTCTTTACATTCACTCACCCCCAGGATCATACAGACAGGAGACCAGACTGCTCCTTTTTTTTTGGAGTCTCACTCCATCGCCCAGGCTGGAGTGCAGTGGCACGCTCACGGCCACCCCAGCGTCAACCTGCTGGGCTCTGGCAATCCTTCCACCTCAGCTTTCCAAGTAGCTGGAACTATAAGTGCATGCTACCACACCTGGCTAATTTTTAAAATTTATTGTAGAGACAAGGTCTCACTAAGTTGCCCAGGCTGGTCTCGAAACTGTGGGCTCAGGCAATCCACTCACCTCAGTCACCCAAAGTGCGGGAATTACAGGCTGAGCCACCAAGCCCAGCTCTGCTCCTTTCTTGAATGGGCACCCTCCCTTTGGTTTCCCCAGTCCAAGCAGCCTGATCCTGCAGGCCCAGGGGCCAGTGATGGTCATCTGGAGCAGGACCTCAGGCTGGACTCCCAGGCAGGGGCTGAAGCCCCCATTCTTGCACACAGGCCTACGGCCAGAGGGGAGGAGGGTAGGCAGCAGGGGGCTCTATGTCTGAGCCACTGCAGGTCCCCCGCTCTGGCTACTCATGGTGCCCTTGGGCAGGAGCCCATGACTGTTCCCATACTCGTGAAGAAGAAAGATGGCGCTATCCCTGTACATCCTAGGGTGGCATAATATGGAGGTCCCGGTGCTCGGCCAGCATGCCTCTCTGTGGGCCACTCCCGGCCCATAAGGTGCCTTGGTGCAAATTAGAGACACCACTTCCTCGAGTCTTGACTTCCATTTGTTGGAAAAATCATTGCAGTAAATAAAAATATCAGTGACATCTGTGACAAAAACGGAGGCCCATCTCTCCTCACCAGGGAAGCCTCAGGGTCAGATTTTCTGACAGAGTGCCCTGGCAATGGAAGTCAGACTGCCTCCTGATCCCACATTGTAGGGTCCCTGCGCCAAGACACAGGACACATCTGGAGTCCGTGGTCTCCCTGGAGCAAGTGCTCAGCTGCCTGCGGCCACACGGGGGTCCAGACCCGCACACGCACCTGCCTGGCAGAGACGGTGTCACTGTGCACAGAGGCTACTGAGGAGGGCCAGCTCTGCTTGGGCCAGACCTGTGCAGGTACCATCCTTCTTCCTGGCATTGGGCAGCCTGTGGTGGGTGAGGTGAAGCAGCCTGGGAAGGGGTGGGGGCTCATCCTGAGACTGACAGATCCTGTCATTGACTCACTGTCACCTAAGCGTCTGTCACCTGCTCCAGTGGGGGATATATAGGATACTGTGGGAATGCTGGGCTGAGTTGATGATCACAGTTCAGAAGACTCCAAGACAGCTTTCTTGAGGAGGTGTCCTGGGCTAAGTCTTGAAGCAAGAATGGGAGTGAGTCCTGTAGGCTGATGAGGAGGGTAATAGAAGCCAAGGAGGAGGGGAGTGGATGCGAGTCCACAGGCTGGGATATGGCTGTAAGAGTGCTAGGATCTGCATAGGCCTTGCTGACATGGCCCCTTGTCCCGTAGCCTGTGACCTGACCTGCCCCATGGGCCAAGTGAATGCTGACTGTGACTCCTGCATGTGTCAGGACTTCCTGCTTCACGGGGTGGTCACCCTCCCTGGAGGTGGCCCAGCCTCGGGGGCCACTGTCTACCTGCTGACCAAGACGCCCAAGCTGCTGACCCAGACAGACAGGGGTGGCAGATTCCGAATCCCTGGCTTGTGCCCTGATGGCAAAAGCATCCTGAAGATCACCAAGACCAAGTTTGCCCCCATTGTACTCACAATGCCCAAGACTAGCCTGAAGGCAGCCACTGTCAATGCAGAGTTCACAAGGGCAGGTAATGAAGTCCTCGGGGCAGGGCTGGGGATGAGGGCCAGGCTTTTAAGTAAAGGGATTGCGAAGGCCCACATGGCCCTATGTCATCTGCCCCCATTATTCTGCTGCTCTCTTCTCCTGTTACTACCCCTCATCAAGCCACAGTGAGCTGCTGGCTGCTCCCAAGCGCAAAGGCTTACTCACACCTGAGGGCCTTTACAGCGCCTGTGTGTTCCGTTTAGAGAGTTCCTTCCCAGATCCTGAGGTGGCTTCCTCCCTGGTCACCTTATCTAAAACAGCCAATAACAATAGAGCACGCGGTTGAAGGACATAGAGACAGAGGCTTACTGGGTTCAGTCAGAAGATTCTGCCAGTGCATTATTCAAAAGTCAGTTCTGTCCTAATGGCAGTGCTTAGAAATCTCGGCTGGGCCCATTTGTTCTCCACTGTCCCACCCAGATGCTGTGCGATGGGCCCTGGGAGCAGGTTCCAAGGTTGGGAGTGGAGGGGCAGACTCTACTCTGGACCATTAGAGATGGGGTGGGGGTAAAGCTATATCATTTTAACACCATCAGAGACCCTGAGGGGACAAGGCTCTGTAGAACCTGTCACAAAACAAACCAAAACACTGCTTCTCATCTTCTGTCCCAGAAACTCCATATATTGTGATGAACCCTGAGACAAAGGCACGGAGAGCAGGGGAGAGTGTGTCCCTGTGCTGCAAGGCCACAGGGAAGCCCAGTCCAGACAAATACTTTTGGTGCGTATTCTGCCAGCCACCCTGCTCAATTCTCCCCTTGGAAACCAGAGCTTTCTTGCATTGGGTCTAGACTTGTTAATAGGAATAACCCAGTGAGGCACAGAGACAAAGCCGGGATGCTGGGACTTGCTAGTAGCAGCTGGTAAGGTTAGGGCTGCCCAGACAGCCAGCAAGCCCTCATTGTACCCTAAAAGCTGGGATCTCCCAGATCATCTCTGGTGTTGGGGTCCTGACTCGCATATCTACATGCCACAGAATAAGCTTCTTTATCACTGCTTCCTCCACCAAGGCAAAGTCAGAATCTCTCATTTCTATCACTCCTTACCCTTCACAAACATTTTACCTCCACTCCACTCTCTGTTGACCCGCCCAACAATCCTGTAAGGTCAGCTAGAGATCATCACTGCCATTTTATAGAGCAGAAAGCTGCAGCTCGGGGAGGTGAGAGGGTCTGTCCAAACATCTCCAGTCAGGTCAGTGGTAGGGCTGGGACTCAGAACCACGTCCCTTGATTCCCAGGCCAATCGGTGAACCGGGTCAAAGGTGATATTGGCCTGGGAACCTATCCACCATCTGCCTCCTTGGCTGCTTGCTCCTGGCACTGTCCCCAGGGACACCTGCCGTCCCTCTGCCCACTCAGACCCCCTCATCCCTTGCAGGTATCACAATGACTCATTGCTGGACCCCTCGCTCTACAAGCACGAGAGCAAGTTGGTGCTGAGGAACCTGCAGCGGGACCAAGCTGGGGAATACTTCTGCAAGGCACAGAGTGATGCTGGGGCTGTGAAGTCTCAGACTGCCCAGCTGATTGTCACAGGCAAGCTTGTCTGGGTCCCTGGGGGTCCTAGGGGTGTACCAGGCTGGCTAAGCACCTGAGGGACCATAGCTGGGCAAAGCACAGGTTTTTCTGCACTGTGCTTGGTGCTATGCCCTCTGGGACACAAAGACCTGAATCCTTCCATCACAGCGCCATGGCTTAAGGGTGAAGATAAGAAATGCAAATAAGAGACCATAAAGGTAGAAACATGCAGCTAAAACAGGAGATAGTGGGCCATGGACTCTAATAGGTGACAGACAGATACCTTCCAGGAGTGAGGGACAATGGATGGCTGCCTGAGAGAGCAGCTTTCCAGCTGGGACCTTGACTGCCTGTTGCATGACCTACTGAAGTTTAGGTCTTACCCCTGGGAAATCTGATTTAATTGTTCTGAGATGTGTCCCAGACTGGCATAGTTTAAAAGCTCCCCAGGTGATTATAATTTGCAGCCAAGGTTGAGAACCCCTGATCTTAAAGAATTGGCAGGAACTGTGTCTGGAGTGGGGCGTTCTAGATTGAGGGATAGCGTGGCAAAGGCACAGAAGTGGGGAGCCTTACAAAAAGGTCACCTAGAGCTGCTTCAAAAAGAGAACTGGAGGGGGAGTTATTGGAGGACAATGACCAGTCTGGAACCTGTCCTTGAAAAATGAGGGGGAAGGAAGACAGCTTAGTAATGGGCCGAAACAAAACAAAACAAAACAAAAAAAAAGGCAGAGGAAGAGAGAATTTATTGGAAGGACCCTGGAAACTTTTATAGACTCCAAGAGAGTTGAGCAACAGACCTCAGGACAGACAGGACACAGGACACTCTGAACCTCAGCAAAGCAGATGTGGAGCCCTCAGCAGTGGGTCCTGACCCATTCCACCCATGCTGCCTGTCTATTACAGTTTTGCTTAATACTGCTCTATTAATTTATAAATAATAACTACTTATACTTTCTACATTTATATGCACATGGTCCTAACTATAGCATAAAGGAGAAAGAAAAAAAATTTTAATACAAAATAGTATGTATTTCAGTATCTAAATACGTTGGCACAGTGACACAAGAAAACAAACCAGGAGGTCAGACACTTACTCTTAGATCCAGAGTCACCATAAATGTGACAGCTACAAATGCTGATGGGTACAAAGTTATCATTTTGGCATTTCAGTCCTTAGGTAATGTTGCAGGGATGTGATTTTCCTGGGATGAGGAAGAGTTCTTGGTATTGTTCTATGCTAAATAAAGAACAATCTTAGCTCAATTTATATGGTAGTTGCATTCTTGAAAAATTCAGTGTATGGTTAAAACTACATAAAAATACTAGGCTCTAATCCTTTTAAACAAGTTTTCCACCTACATGAATGTCTGGTGGGATATGTGAAAGATAGGGAACAGTGCCAGGCACTGCAGGACATAGAACATCAAGGATCCTGCCCACAATATGCCAGTAGCCCCCCAATTTTGGTAATAACTCCCTCACCAATTTTCAAGACCCCCCATGGAGACAAGTGGAGTCCCCATGATTTTAGTGGAGTCAGCAACCAACTCTGTCTCCCTGTATACAAAATGGGACTAGTGATAGCTCTTCTACCTTCCTCGGAGTGTTCTGTGAGAATTAGGGTCATGGACTTACAAATACTTTAGAAGCCATAGAACACTGTGGAGAGGTGAGGCTGAGATACCTTTGTGTAGGATGTAAACTTACATCCTAGTTTCCACACCCCTTCCCTCCACAGCACCTGATGAGACTCCTTGCAACCCAACCCCTGAGAGCTTCCTTATCCGATTGCCCCACGACTGCTTCCAGAATGCCACCAACTCCTTCTACTATGATGTGGGCCACTGCCCTGTCAAGACCTGTGCAGGGCAACAAGATAAAGGGATCCGGTGCCGGGATGCTGTGGAAAACTGCTGCGGCATCTCCAAAACAGAGGAGCAGGAGATCCAGTGCAGTGGCTACACGCTGCCCACCAAGGTGGCCACGGAGTGCAGCTGCCAGCGCTGCACGGAAACCCGGAGCATCGTGCGGGGCCGTGTCAGTTCCGCTGACAATGGAGAACCCCTGCGCTTTGGTCATGTGTACATGGGGGGCAGCCGAGTGAGCATGACTGGCTACAAGGGCACGTTCACCCTCCACATCCCCCACGACACGGAGAGGCTGGTGCTCACTTTTGTGGACAGGCTGCAGAAGTTTGTCAATACCACCAAAGTGCTGCCCTTCAACAAGAAGGGGAGTGCCATATTCCATGAAGTCAAGATGCTACGACGTAAGGAGCCCATCACTCTGGAGGCCATGGAGACCAACGTTATCCCCCTGGGGGAAGTGGCTGGCGAAGACCCTATGGCTGAACTGGAAATCCCATCCAAGAGCTTCTACAGGCAGAATGGGGAGCCCTACACAGGAAAAGTGAAAGCCAGTGTGACCTTCCTGGATCCCCGGAATATTTCTACAGCCACGGCTGCCCAGAGCGACTTAAACTTCATCAATGATGAGGGGGACACCTTCCCCCTTCGGACATATGGCATGTTCTCTGTGGACTTCACAGATGAGGTCACCTCAGAGCCACTAAATGCTGGCAAGGTGAAAGTCCACCTTGACTCCACCCAGGTCAAGATGCCAGAGCATGTGCCCACAATGAAGCTCTGGTCACTCAACCCAGACACAGGGCTGTGGGAGGAGGAGGGTGATTTCAAATTTGAAAGCCAAAGGAGGAACAAAAGAGAAGAGAGAACATTTCTGGTGGGCAACATGGAGATCCGTGAGAGGAGGCTCTTCAACCTGGATGTCCCTGAAAGCAGGAGGTGCTTTATCAAGGTGAGAGCCTACCGGAGCGAGAGGTTCTTGCCCAGTGAGCAGATCCAGGGGGTTGTGGTCTCTGTGATCAACCTGGAGCCCAGAACTGGCTTCTCCTCCAACCCAAGGGCCTGGGGCCGCTTTGACAGTGTCATTACGGGCCCCAATGGGGCCTGCGTGCCGGCCTTCTGTGATGACCAGTCCCCTGATGCTTACTCTGCCTACGTCTTGGCAAGCCTGGCTGGAGAGGAACTACAAGCGGTAGAGTCTTCTCCTAAATTCAACCCAAATGCAATTGGTGTTCCTCAGCCCTACCTCAACAAGCTTAAGTACCGTCGAACAGATCATGAGGATCCACGGGTTAAGAAGACTGCTTTCCAGATAAGCATGGCCAAGCCAAGGCCCAACTCGGCTGAGGAGAGCAACGGACCTGTCTATGCTTTTGAGAACCTCCGGGCATGTGAAGAGGCCCCACCTAGTGCGGCCCACTTTCGGTTCTACCAGATTGAGGGGGATCGATATGACTATAACACGGTCCTCTTCAATGAGGATGACCCCATGAGCTGGACAGAGGACTACCTGGCATGGTGGCCTAAGCCAATGGAGTTCAGGGCCTGCTACATCAAGGTGCGGATCATGGGCCCACAGGAGGTGAATGTGCGATCCCGCAACATGGGAGGCACCCACCGGCAGACAGTGGGAAAGCTGTATGGAATCCGGGATGTAAGGAGCACTCGGGATAGGGAACAGCCCAACGTCTCATCCGCCTGTCTAGAGTTCAAGTGCAGTGGGATGCTCTATGACCAGGACCGTGTGGACCGCACACTGGTGAAGGTCATCCCTCAGGGCAGCTGCCGTCGGGCTAGTGTGAACCCCATGCTGCATGAGTACCTGGTCAACCACCTGCCCCTGGCAGTCAACAATGACACCAGTGAATACACCATGCTGGCACCCCTGGACCCACTGGGCCACAACTATGGCATCTACACTGTCACTGATCAGGACCCTCGTACAGCCAAAGAGATCGCTCTGGGCCGGTGCTTTGACGGCACATCTGACGGCTCCTCCAGGATCATGAAGAGTGATGTGGGAGTTGCCCTTACCTTTAACTGTGTGGAGAGGCAGGTGGGCCGCCAGAGCGCTTTCCAGTACCTCCGAAGCACCCCAGCCCGACCCCCTGCAGCACGTACTGCCCAAGGAAGAGTGCCCCCAAGGAGGCAGCAGCGGGTGAGCAGGGCTGGCCAGCGCAGGAGCGGAGGTGTGGTCTCTCTGAGATTTCCTGGAGTTGCTCAACAGCCTTTGAGCAACTAAGTCTTGTGGTACTTCACACTCTTTCCCCCCACCTCATGTGACAGCCATTGTGAGATTGATGCACACACTGTTACTTGGTTAATTTAAGCACATCTGTTTTGGTGCAATTTGCTTGTTTGCTTTTTCATGCCTTTACTTGCTATATTTGTCCCATGATACTGATTGGTATGTGGCTCTCCTTTAAAAGGAACACAAGAAACTGGCTGCTAGTAAAACTGTAGCTTCAACTGTTCTTCATTTAGTGCCATTAATACAAACATACTTCCTTTTCTTTTTGCATGGTTTTGCCCACTTCTAAAATAATGATAATTTGATGCTGAAGATCTAATAACCGATATAAAGCATATTTCTTGGTCTTGCTCCACAGGATGTAAACAAGGCTCTGATCATACACACAAATGATGGTGAAATAAAGAAACAAAATAAACATTTTTACTTGAAATAAATAATTTTCTTGGCTGAATTTAGAATTCTAGTGCCTAATCAAAGTTGAGCTATTAAATATAGGGCAATCACAGTTCCCCTACCAAGTCTGGAAAGCACCTCTACTGCTATCCACAGTTATACTAGGTTGCTCACTGTACTCATGTGTTTACATTTGCTTGTTCTCTGACTGGAAACCCAGCGTTTCCCAGGGCAGATGTCAATAAATACACATTCTGTACTTTGATTCTGAGGCCACTGTCCTATCTCAACCATTAAAGTAAACCAGCTGCTCAGAGAGGCGCAGAGAATTCTAGAAAGCAGTCTCAGGTGTTGTGAGTCCCAGACCAGGGCAGGGCAATGAGGCACACACTCCAGCAGCCACATTTATCCTCATGGATCATATTTTCCATTTGCAGAGAAGAGCAGAGATTCCTGGTGTTGTGAGCTTATTCTGGGCTCCCATGCAAGAAAACATATCCCGATCTTTTTCTCTCTCTCTAATACTGTGGAGCTTATACAATGGTTTGGCCTGGGGTCCGGCAGGCTGGTCAAGTGGTCCTTTGGCTCTCCCCTCAGCCTGTCGCCTTCTCCAGCTGGGCTGGCTGACCTCCCTCAGAAATGATGGGCTTTTTCTTTTCCTTTGTTTTTTTTTAAAGCTCTTCTAAAGATGTTCAGCTTTTCCAGACACCCGATCTCTGTTGTGTGTTATAGCCCCTGTCCCTGGGGTAAAACAACTGGTCCAAATGACAGGGTTTTGTTTTTGGAAGAGGTATTTGATTTAAAATAGTAAATTGAAGGCCAGTGGGTAGTGCCAGCACAATCTCAGAAGCATCAACAGTCAGGACAGTGGGAGGTGGGGCCGGGTAAGGTGCACTCCCTGCCCTGTTCTACCCACTCCAGAAGCCGTCAGGAAAGAGGTCGAGGGGGCTGATGGGGAAAGGGTACCGTTTATACTTAGGACAGAATGCTCTCCCTGACCCCTGGCCAGCTGAGTGCAGCCCTGGCATGGGCTGGATGTGTGCTGTGTGCTGCCTGGCTCCTGGGAGTTCAGTGTGTGATCAGTCAGAAATGTCTCTGCCTAAGCACCCAATCCCCATGACCACAGAGAGGGCGCGCATATGTAGGACCCAGGTCTAGTGGCCCCGTGGTTACAACTTTACCCACTTCCAGACTTTGCTTCTGCCCTGGTCTCTCACTGATGCCCGGCTGAGGGGTCAGTGCGCAGCTATCCTGATGCCCCACTGTCACGAGACAGTGCATGCTGCTTCAACTTGGCCACCTGTTCCATAAAACTCACAGGGAGGAGTTTCCTTGTTGTTTTCAGTTGAGGGTTTGAATTAATGGACTGCGAAGGCAGTAGCTGGTACCTGGTTCTTCACTCACCATTTATTGAGTGACCACTTGATGCCAGGCCATGTATAGAGATAGGCCTTTATGAGATTGTTTAAAATATACATGTGGTGGCATCCAACTTGAAGGGGTAGTCAGAGGAGGCTTCTTAGAGGAGGTGACATAATTTGACTGAATGATAGCTAAGAGTTGACTTGTTGTTGTGGCTGTCAGGAACAAGGGCACAAGCAGAAACAGCTGTGCAAAACCAGGAGCAGAAGCTTGGCAGGGCGGGTGGGCAGGCAGGCAGATGCCACTCTGTCAAACAAGGAAACACTGTTGAGTTGAGCTCATGAGACTTAATTCCTTTTTTTTCCCAACATGATTCATAGGTTTATAAGATGTGCTCCTTGCTAGCTGTATGTCTTTCCCCTGGACCTCCATTTCCTCACCCATAAATGAAGGAATTGGTCGAGATCAGGACCTAGGCCATCTCTAAAGTCCTTTGTGCTATCTTCATTGAGGCCAAGGTCAGTTCTCAGGATGTTTTTGCTTTGCCAAACCACTGCTGATCTGCCAGTTATTCCCCTAGGTGGAGACTGTACCCTGGATAGGCCAAGCATTCATTTCAGAATGCCCTAGGATTTCCGTCTCAGCCTGCTCTACACTGGTTATTGAGTTACTGAACTACTGTACATCGAGCTCCTCAGTGTGCCTTGCATGAGGACAGAAACTGGATGGCAGGGAGGAGGGCCACAGGAAGGAAGGTAGAGGGCCAACCAGGCTGCCTCTGCTTATAAAGTCAAGTTCTGAGAGCACCAGCAGATAGGGTGATAGAGAAATATGTCACCAAGATGTCCAGACAAGAACAGAATCTTGAAAGATTGAGGACTTAAGCAAAATTGGAGACAGTGCGGGGATGGGTGGGGTTTCAGGCGAAGGGACTGGCTAGAGCCAAAGTGTAGAAGTGGGACTCCATACTGGAAGTCTTTTGATTACAAGTAACAGAGGTGCCAGGTAACCTGAGGAAGAAATGAAACTAGAAACTACAAAACCATTACTCTCACTGGTGTTGATTCTCTTAATCTCTCTCACATTCAGTGAGCTCTGTTCTCTCAGTCTCTAACTCAAGCTTGCTCTATACATTCCATATCTCAGACTATCTCTCTGACTCTGCTCTTTCTAGGTCCCTCTCTCTGGTCAGTCTATTCGCAGTCTCTCCTTCTCACTGGGAGGTCTCTCTTCTCTGCTAGAACTGCTGGTTTCTCCTGTAGATCAGCTGTCTCTGTTCTTCTGGGCTCACAGAATACAGTGGCCACCCTACCTACATCTTCTCAAGTCAACAGAGGCTGCCTTTGATTGTCCCAGTTTGAACTGTGGATCCACCTCTAGTCCAATCAACTGTAGCCATGGCAGGGGTGGAGTATAAAGGGCAGCCCTGTTATCCTCCCATCGTTGCCAGGGCGGTGGAGGGGAATGCAATTCTGAAAGGGCGTCTGTGTAGTTGGGGAGACATATCAAAGGTTGGGGGACAGTGAGCACACCATTATGGGGTCACTGAAAGCTCTGGGTTTTTCATTTCCAAACATGAAGGGATTTTGATATATTAAATGAGATCTGTGTGTTAACTGTTCTTTGAAATCTGTTAAGTCTTGTTTTATGACTTGGTCAGGTTTTATAGTTAGTATGATTCAAAACAAACATATAAAATATATATAGAATTAAAAATATGATATAATATGCGTTAATCACTGGGTGCAGTGCTCTATACAGGACCATCAACACAAGCTTAATTGTTCTGTTCAGTAAATAAGTGTATTGAAATCTTCCACTAGATGGTGCTTATGGCAATTTCCCCCTGTGATTCCTCAATTTGGGTTTTATATATTTCAAGGTTTTATTTATTTATTTATTTATTTTTTGAGTTGGAGTCTCACTCTGTCGCCCAGACTGGAGTGCAGTGGCCACTCCCGGCCACTGCAGTCTTGACTGCTGGGCTCCAGCGATCCTTCCGCCTCAGCCCTCCAAGTAGCCGGAATTACAGGCATGCGCTACCACGCCCGGCTGATTTTTTGATTTATTGTAGAGATGAGGTCTCGTCAAGTTGCCCATGTGGGTCTCGAACCCGCGGGCTCAGGCAATCCACTCACCTCAGCCTCCCAAAGCGCGGGATTACAGGCTGAGCCACCGAGCCTGGCTTCAAGGCTCTTTAAAAATTTTTTTTAAATTTTGAGTTGGAGTCTCACTCTGTCACCCAGGCTGGAGTGCAGTGGCACACTCATGGACACCACAGCCTCACCCTGCTGAGCTCAGGTGATCCTTCCACTTCAGTCTCCAAGTAGCTGCAACTACAGGTGTGTGGCACCATGCCTAGCTGATTTTTCTTGATTTATTGTAGAGATGAGGTTTCAGCAAGTTGATCAGGCTGGTCTTGAACCCCTGGGCTTAGGCAATCCTCTCACCTCAGCCTCCCAAAGTGCTGGGATTATAGGTGTGAGCCACCGCACCTGGCTTTTTTAATGGGTGTATGTTAAGCATTGAATTTTCATGCTTTCTTGTATCTTACAATTTTATCTTATTACATAGCTCCCAACTTTCTTTTGGTTAGTGTTTTTATATATTGATCACAGATATCTTTGAATTTGTTTTTACCATCTTTTTTTTTTTATTTTTTAGTCAAGAGTCTCACTCAGTCACCCAGGCTGGAGTGCAGTGGCACGCTCATGGCCACCGCAGCCTCAACCTACTGGGCTCAGGTGATCCTCCCACTTCAGCCTTCCAAGTAGCTGGAACCACAGGCATACGCCACCATGCCCGGCTGATTTTTTGATTTATTGTAGAGACAAGTTCTCACCATGTTGCTCAGGCTGATCTTGAATCCCCGGTCTCAGGTAATCCCCTTGCCTCTGCCTCCCAAAGTGCTGGGATTACAGGCATGAGCCACTGGACCTGGCTCCTTTGCCCATTTAAAAAAATTGGTTTGTCTAGGCTGGGCGTGGTGGT